ATTGCAGCGTGATGTTTTATAACCTATAGCCTTAATAGATAAATGGACTATCCAAAGCTAAAAGAATTATTCAATTCGAATCAATAGTTCTGGAGATAAGCGCGTTCGACAAACGAACAAACTCTTTAGCATTAGATAATAAAAAGTATAAGTAGTATTTTAATATCAGAAATTTTTAAATGTTACTTTCTCCACAATTTTTTAATATCGTTTCTGTTCTTCAATATTCCATTTAATTTCTTAAAGATCAGATGGCTGGTCTGGTTTTCAGTCGGAGGTTAAGCATTGCCATATGTGCGGCAATTGCCGTTAGCCTTTTGGGTACTTTCCCTATTGACGTTGTTGCAGACGAATTTTTTTATGATCTCTGTATATAATCATTTTTAGTCTTTTTGATTTAATTTTCTCTGTTAGAGTATTTTAAGTACTAACAGCAAATTTATTTGTCTGTCGCTATTTCTAAAGTTACCTACTAAGATCTTTTACATTTATAAAAAGCTTGATTAAAATAAATTTCTTAAGAATTTACTATTCAGTATTCAGTATTTCTCAAGTATTAAACCATTTCTGATTAATTCCACGTCTTATAACCAATGAACAGTTTCAACGTATTCCTTAGTCGTCACTTCTTGTTCATCTACATTCATACTCAAAGCTTTACTTGCAACATGTCTTTCATCCTTCCACGTCTCTTTCACCAAACTTCGGCAACATTGCCTTTTTAGACTTTCTCTTCAAACATATTCATTTCAAATTCTTCTTCAACATGATCATTATAGACATTTTTGTATGACCTTTTAAACAACAGGGATGATGAACGGGTATAAAAATTAAGAATCTAATTAGTCCGTTAGTTAGGTAATGAAAAAATATTAGACACGTATTTTTGTCGTATAATAAAACAATACTTAGATAAAACGAATCAAAGTTTAGGAGTGAGGGCTAAAACGTCATTTCTACGTATAAAATGTACATAGAAGTGACGTCACGTGACATTTCAAATCAATATATCGTCGAAAGTATTCGTTTCTGAGAGATAATAAAAAATACCTGTCTTATGTTTTAAAAGAATCTACCAGACGGACATTAAAATAAAAATTAGTCATCTAGCCTACTAAGTGCATTGTGATATCAAATAAATAAAGCTTTTAAATGTCAGTTAAAATGTTCATGTATTTTCATCGTCGAAATTTATGACGCCACAACTGAACATTCGTAAAGAGTACGTATGTATGTATGATATCGTCTCGTAATTTCCATACTGCAAAGTTAGATGCATTGAGTCAGAAACTCGTGTGAATATCTGATACACAGACACACTGATGTGGTTGCTGAGTTTAGAACACACATACAAAATATCACGCCTTTTATCCCCGAAGAGGTAGGCAGGGGTGCACATTATGCCACTGTAAAATGTAACACCCACTTTTCACTGTTTTGAGTCCCATGTAATAGAGGTATTGCCATGTGAGCCTATTGCCATATACCGGGCACAATTCCAGAATCCGTGCTACTACTGAAAATTTTTAAAAACCCAATAATACTTTGCCCGACCCGGGAATCGAACCCGAGACCCCTTGCCCGGTAGTCGCACTTGCGACCACTCGGCTATCGAGGCAGTTGAGTTTAGAATGGAAAATGATAATTGATATATCGAATGGATTCATGATTAATAATCTAACAATGAGTGAATGTTTTTCTTTCTGATAGACGAGAGCGTTAAAAGTCCCTTCTTGCTGAGATCAGCCTCTATATTGTTCTTTTCTTCTTAAATTATTTAATTTATTACATCAGTTTAGTTTTTGTAGCAATAGCAGTCACTCATTTATATTTCTGAACCTTCCTAATCAAAAGCCTCATACTCACGATGCAAAACTAGATCAAAATAATTCTAAAATTAAACCTGGATTTGGACTGACTGATCCCAGTTACACAACAGGAACGAATTGCTTCCATGTACGATTAAACGTGCAAATTAAACCAGAACCTGGAAATTTGAATCCCAACTTTAATGTCCATATGGATTCTGGTGAGATAATTAAATTCTGTATGAATCTATATCCAGTTAATTAGTTGGAAAATGTATGTGAAGAATTAGCATACTATCTCTGGCTTAGTTCCTTGTGATTAAATTATACATTTCATCTTGGTTCGGTGAAGGATTAGTAGAAGCTATGAATTTTAATTAGTGATGTCAAGAAATTGTTTTGGGGCTTCACTAAGGGCCAATTTTTTAATGTTCAGTTATATATCAAAGGAATGACGTTGCATATTTGACTTTTTTCTTCTTGTTCTTCCATACTAATAACTATCAAATGTCAATTTTATTCTTCAGTTAAGAATTAACTGATGATTGAAAATTGGGCCTCAAGACTGTTTTATTGAAGGAGAACAAATTTTCGTAAGGAATTTTATAAACAATGTAAATGACAAAGGACTTGTGTATTACAATAATGACATTTCTTAAACTGCTGTACTTATTTTTATTATAGACTAGGTGTCCCGGCAAACTTTGTACCGCCAATAAAAAATTTTTTTCACCCTTTATACCTTCCCGGGACTTCCTGAATATTTCAAAACCGAAATTAGTGAAATCGGTTCAGACGTTCTCGAGTTTTAGCGAGACTAACGAAATTCATTTTAATTTATCTTTATATATATATTTCTGCTGTACGTGTGTATACGATTGAACTCCTCCTAAACGGCTTGACCGATTTAAATGATTTTTTCTGTACGCGTTTGAGTGGCGCCCTGGATGGTTTAGATTCACAAATCAGCCCGGCAGATGGCGCTGCAGTCAAGGTTAGTTATCCTAAACGGCTGAACTTATTTGAATGAATTTTTATTTATACATTCAAGTGGATATGCAGGACAACGTGTGTCGAGCCCGCTAGTATACATATAGATTTACTAGCTTCTGTTCGCTTTGATGAGATAAAAATGACCAAAGTGTTATTGCATACCATAACCTACCCCTGTTTCAAATTTAATTTCGGTCCCTTCATATGTTTTGATGCAAACGAAAAACAAACAAAAATACCAACTTTCGCATTTATAATATTAAAATGCAGTTGTTTTTTCTGGTTGAAGGTATATACACCGTTAATATTAGTGTTATTGGTATCACTTTCCAATTTCCAATAGCGGTCCAATCTAATGTGAACTATTGTAAATCAAACATGGAGTAACTGTTTGGAATTAAATTCTTAGAAGTGACTAGCTGTTATTATTACACTTAAATCAACATTGAACTTACCGGGTACGAGTATAACAGTTACTGACAATAATTAGTTTCAAAATGGCTACTCATTGTATATATTCATGATTATTTGTTTCTAAAAATATGTTTATTAGAAATAATTTAAACTGTCAAACACCAAGCGGTCACCGGTGACCGCAACCTATTGTTCTATAATTGTGTCTACAAAACCGGTACTCGACGAGTTAATACAACTTGATTGTAAAAAAAAATTTGGTACCTATATCAATAACAATTGAATTATTAATAAAGTTCATATTACAATATTATCGTTAATAATGTTTTAAACATACATCTGGGGGTAAGCAGACACAATGGAATGTCAATTCCTCCTTCTCTTACTTACCCTTAACCGACGAGCATGCATGACAAGACTTTTAATTTGACCCTTCTTTAATATATCACCTATATGATCGATGTATGTCCATAATGTTTTAAATAACCGAAATTACTTGTATTAGAATTTCTGCTTGACTGACTTATTAACACCTTAGTATAATAGTTTGAATATTTTGTACCAATTGTTTAATCGAGAACGTTAATTAAGGTTTCATTAACATGAATGTAAATATTAATTTAATAAAGTTTGTTTCTAAATTCAATTTATCATCATCTGTTACATTTCGATAGAAATCTGTTCCATGCAATTTACTTCAATAATAAAAATCCGATTATTGACAGAGGGTCACTCGCGTCAACGGCACAAATCGATTTGTCGTGTCGAACTTGATATTTCTCATTGCGATTATAAACATCAGATGTATTTGATGAATCACTATTAATGTTAATATAATATATTTTCTATGTGATTTAATGTTTTTTATGAGAGTGTGGCAAGTAATAATTATTTTATTTTTGGAACTATAAGTTCAAGTTTGAATTTCTTAAACGATATTCCTTTACGTCTTTATGTTAATAATTAATAATGCAGAAATATATAGTTTTGTTTAAAGCTATACATATAAAATTCACAATTAAGGTGCCTGAACTAGGACACCCTGTGTTTCAGGCGAAAAATAATATTTTCGTTATAAAAATGATTTGTCAATTAAATCAACAGGCAATAGCTATATAACTCTATCAACGTTTTCTCCCACTATCCTATTATCTTTCAATCCTAATACATAGATATTTACTAAGACTTAAACATATCATTTTACAGACCAAAAATATTATCGCCACTTATTATCACGTCAATTCAATTTTCGTTGAGTCGGTTCACGAATTCGTGACACCGCTGTCCGAACTTTGCACTCTCGCCCGTCAATCTATAAGCCCTTAGATATGCTGAGCCTTTGATCGGCGAATTTCCATGAATATTTTCATTTACATTTGCATCCTATAAATCTTATTTACCCCACGCTGCTTATTGGATATTTTTCCTCTTTGAAGTCTTGGTTTATGCATCGTAATTTATTTATTGACATTGCCACAGTAAAGGGTTAGAAAACAGCTGTGTATTAGCCAGTAACATGGGTTTCTCGAAAAACAATTTAATATTCCTATAATCGAAATTTAACCAACCACAAATTTTAATATCCGAGAAAATCTCGCTGACGTAATACCATTTATTAATATTAATCAGAGTCAGGAAAATTATTCTGTAAACACCATTGATTAACTTAGAAACAATGGGATTGAGTTTACATTTGAAACAAACGAAATATTAATTAATCTCGACATTATCCTCACGAAAACAAAATTAGATATTTCGTTGAAATCAAGGTAAAGGAACACTTACGTTTCGTTCAGAAAATCCTCTTGGAACATAACATAATTTTTTCAAAAAAACTTTTATCAACGCTTTAAAATCACTTCATTTAAGAATACACTAAACAATGTGCAAGTCACTTTCACTTCCAATACAAATATAGATAACTGTCAGATAGACGTTACTATTTTCGTAACACAACTTGAAAACGGGACGCGCGTCCTACCTCGGCGGCGGTCAGGATCAAACTGAGTTGCTTCGTCATACACAGTGCACCGAAAACGGGCAAAGATTCAAGTCAGTTCAGCCAAGCAGCAAACTTATTGAAGCATAAACAGGATAATGCTATAAATCTGAGGTTGGTCATATGGTAGTAAAATGGTATGTGCTCAAACAGTTGAAAAAGCTTTGATCTAACGTCGCGGTTTGTTTAAATAATATTTTTAAAACTACCGATGGTTGAGTTTATCTTGCGGTCGTTCAGTTGAAGTATAAAAACTTAGATCTTGTTGTTACAGTAACATCTTATTGGTTTAGATTTCTTAATATTATGAAGTTGAATTAAATATGTGTATATGTTGAAAAATATGTCTAAAAATAGTAAATACAGTTTCGAAATATTTTCTTTAAATTTACGCTTTATGCGATTGTAAGATACTTAGCAAAAATATTAAAAGAAGATTCACTTTGAACTCTAAAGCAAATACCCATAAAATCAAACCTTTTGACCAGAAAATTAAATTTTGCATCCACTTTAAAATTTGAGAGCAAAAGTTTAACGCGAACAAATCAATCAGAATGATACGATATCTCAAATTGAAATGGCTGTGATCAATTACGTCACAACTTTTAAAGGGTACCCATGGCCTACCCTTTCAACTTTTCCATTCTCAAAGGCTTAAAACTCTTAGAAAGTTATCTGGTAGTGATTTTATTAGAATATTTAAAAGACCAGTTAACGTTGACCTCTCAATGTCCTCGCTAAATGAGGGTTGCAAATCAAAAGTGCCAAAGATGGCGTCCAAGTTTAAATGGCCGTTCACCTGTTTCTTCGCGACATCTGCAAGCCTGAGGTTTAGAAAACTAAATTCAGAAGATGTTATTTCTGTACAAAATTTGTTATTTTCGCATAATTTTACTTGTAAGTTTTAGCTGACGGTGGCGCTTCAGAAAATTATTTTTGCATTGAAAGTTCAAACACTTGATTTTAATACTTAAACTTTGACCATAGATTGTTACTTACTAATTCTAATTGTAGATTAGAAGTGAATGATAAATTTCAATTTATCACCCTCATTGCATTATAAAGAGCATGCCTCGTTGGTCGAGTGGTCGCAAGTGCGACTGCCGGGCAAAGGGTCTCAGGTTCGATTCCCGGGTCGAGCAAAATATTACTGGGTTTTTATAAATATCAGTTGTAGCACGGAGTCTGGAAATATGCCTGGTTTATGGCAATAAGCTCACTCCTTATTACATAGGACTCATAACTTAAATAGTGAAAAGTGAGTGTTACTTCTGTGTGCCTACCTTCAAAGATAAAAGGCATGGTTATGATGTTAAGCATTATAAAGCACTAGGTTCTACCAGTGGATTTGCCCGCGTTCTCTTGGGTTAAGTGGCCTATATGCACCTATGTGTTAGTCCAGACCATAATCTACCCATGTTCTAAATTGCATCCCGATTACTTCAGCAGTTTTTGCGTAAAAGAGTAACAAACACACATACCTCCTCACAAACTTTTACATTTATATTATTAGTAGGAATCTAATTTTTACGCAGTAATTACGCATACGATGGACACTTACTTTTTTAATTTTTTCTTAAATATTATAATATTTTTAACAGTATAACTGCTAAAAATATTTTAATGACTGCACGGTTGGCGCGGTGGCTGGGCAACCGGCTGCCGTGCAACGTGTCGCGGGTTCGATTCCCACGGAACAACACTTTGTGTAATCCACAAATTGTTGTTCCGGGTCTGGGTGTCATGTGTATGTGAAATTGTATGTTTGTAAACGCACCCACGACACAGGAGAAAATCATAGTGTGGGGCAACGTTTTAATAAAAAAAAAAAAAAGACTCTACTTTGTATTTTTATGTACTTAAATGTATGTGTAGATATGCCAAGATTAACAAAGATCATCATGAGAATTTGGAACTAAATGATAAAGACGGAATATAAATAAAACCAATTAACTTGACTTTAAATCTACCTACATAGCTATCTGTATAATCTAAGTACTTACCTAGATAAAACTACGTACAGATGATGAGATGACATTACAACTCGATACGCTTGAGATAAAAAAAACACAAGGACCAAAGTGTCCGATTTAGAATTTAATTAAAAATTCAGTCCCACTTTCATATTATTAGATTTGGTGAAATGAGAGAAAACATATTGAAAAATTTAATTTCATTAGAAGGGACCGAAATTAATTTGTTTTTGAATTTGACAAAAGTTAAAGGAATATTACGTTTTTAGATTATTAATATTTTGTAGGTACTTATTTTTAGCCTGGAAGTGGGTATTTTTAATCTGGTCTGATTAGTTTCATATTTAGATGATATTTAGTTTGTTTGGTTCAAAATAAAATAAACTACTATCCCTTCTGACAATGATAAATATCGTAGGGTCGATTTTTCCAACGCCAAACAAATTTTAACACAACATCACGCATTTTTATCCCAGAAGGGATAGGCAGATGCACATTACGGCACTTAATACCACTGTACAATGTAACACCCACTTTTCACTATTTATGTTATGAGTCCCATGTAATAGGCGAGCCTATAGCCAGATACCGGGCACAATTGCAGACTACGTGCTACTACTGAGAATTAAAAAATAAACCAGTAATACTTTGCCCGTCACGGGAATCGAACCCAAGACCCCTTGTCCGAGCCGCACTTGCGATCACTCAGCAACCGAGCCCGGCAATAAATTTTAACTGAAAAATAAGTTTGAATATTTGACAATACTTTCATATTACAAACTGTAATATAATTATGTTATTTTTTTTCTATTGTATAGAATTAACTGAAAAATCGGCGCTCAGTTAGTTTATTTCTAGATCATGGGAGAATTTACTTTACTTAAGTGTGCGAAATTTTTTAATCGAGTTTACCATTTCAATTTTTTGTGTCCTTACTGGGTACAATACTAATAACACGACCTCTTTTAACATGCCAAGCTAATAAAACGAGCAAAAAAGTATTTAACTGCACAGCCATAAAGTTTCAATTTGCACTTTCAAATATGTATAAATAAAGCAGTTTATATCGCATAATCTCTTCGTAGCACTTGACATACTCAGCCCAAGTCCCACAGCATCAGACAACCCGCACTCATGTGGTCACTCCTGCTTATTTTCAAACCACTGAAGTACCGAAATACCGATCGACAACCGAACGAAGACGAACCACTACCACATGAAATTTTCTCACAGTCGTGGCCCATTTTATGCTGGTCAACACTTAGTACAATGATCGTGTCATATGGGCCAATCGTGTACATTTTGACAGGCAAATGAGATGATATGTAGGAAATTAATGTCCAATACTCATTGGTGGATCAATTTGGCTCACGTGTACCACTTCTGATTTTGAAAAGGATTATTTTATAGTTGCAAAATTGTTGGTGTTAACTTTAACAATAAAGTGTTTATAATAATTATTTAGAGATAGAGAGATAGAGATATATTTATTTAGTAAAACGTGATTAATTACAGAGTCTACGTGTTTTGCCATTTATAGCGTACTAAACCAATCACTTTAGGCAGCGTTCTGATTTTATATGTGTATTTTATATTTGATTTAATTTTAAAATGTAGTTTAGCATAGAAGAGATTTTGTACCAGGAGTAAAGTATATAATTGAGTCTAGTATCTTTACTTTTGATGCTGTTTTCATCAAAATAAAATTATGCATATTCTCAAGTCGTTTCATGTGAAAAGAAAAAAAGTAACTATTAAAATAGACACAAAATTCAATTCAAAATTAGAACACCTCAGTTTCAAAAACATCACTGCAAACCAACAGCACCTGGCCAACACAAAAACTAGCTACACACCAAAACAAATACACACCAACTTTTATTGACTACAACAGACATTCTCTCAAACACAGGACCGAACTTGAAGCCCAAATCCTTTATAAAATACCATTTATATTTAGAAAACTATTTTTAACATGGACTGTCTCACGCCCCCTTCAAAAGTCGAGCGATGTAAGGAACTTTGGGAAGCTGCGTTACTTGAAGAAACAGTATTAAGTGTGGGAGAGCCATGCTTCAATATGAATGGGCCGGCTCCGGAGTGATACCACGGCCTGGCAGAAGACCGACGTGAAACAACATTGTGTTGTGTTTCGTCGTGTGAGTGAGGTTACAGGAGGCCCAATTAACCCCACCTTTCCCCAATCCCTGAATCTCAACAATCCTCAAATACCCAAATACCTAGAAGGCCGGTAACGCACTTGTAACGCCTCTGGTGTTCCAGGTGTCCATGAGCGACGCCGATTGCTTACCATCAGGTGATCTGTCTGCTCGGTTACCGGCCTAAGACATAAACAAAAAATATATTACAGTTCTAAAGAGAATGACCATGGTGTCTTCAAGGCCCGAGTAAAAAGGTTGCTTGTGGGTCGACGTCCTCCTTCGTAGACCGCATATTGGATTATCCGAAGAGTAGCAACGTTTGATAGAGTACATTGACATGACCTTTCAAAAAATACATTAATATTTATTTACACGTCTGTCTTGTTAAGAACACAGTCTATATTTTTAGAAAATATTACTAATGTACTTATAAGATATGTTTTTATTAATAGAACAGATCTCAGATACGTCTTAGTCATTATACAATTTCACACATATATTATGATAGATTTCAGCTAAAAGTATACAGGAAAGGTTCTTTGCTCTTGTATTAATAACAAGCTCCAAAACAGAGACATATAGTGCCATCTATCATTTAAGGATCGAACCTTTAGATTGACGTGATGTATCGTATAATCTAAACTTGGATACATTGATTGATATTTTCTTTCTACGTTTATATTTCGTATCTAAGTAATATTGGTATATTAATATCCTTATTTTTATTTCTTTAAAAGGTAAACACAAGTGAAGTAAAATACTTTTTACGTAAAGTTTTACAGATGTTCATATTTTTTCTACATACCTTTTTTTGGGGAAGGATTGGTATAAAAATTACTACAGCA